AGTGTTTTTCCCCTGTCAGACTCTGATCTCCTCCTGGATGTGCAGATCTGGAGATGGGAACAATCATAGTCTCAAGAACACTAATATAAAACTGTCCAAAAATGCAGATTATTCCAAAGTGCAGTTCTCACCTTAACACTTCTCTAAAATAGTTCTGTTTCATCTCTTTTCCACACTGTTTTCTGTGCATCCAGGTCTCTGAATTTTCTGTTTACATCCACAAAATTTTCTATTGATTTAACACAAAAAAACCTCAGACATGCTTATCAAACTTATTTCTGTGCCAGAACAGAGTTGAACCTGACAAATTCATAGTTTTAGGCACCTGTCCTATTTTGGGACATTCCATTTCTAGGATAACTTATTTTCCCAAATGAATGAAGCACCTCTTTTTTCCAACTGAAAACTGGAGTAATGAGATTGTTACTGAGGTCTGTCTTCTGTGTTTAAAGAAGATTTCATTAAGGAAAGAGGAATCTTGCTAAGTAAATGTCAAAATGTGTCTCTGGAGTTCATGTCACCACCAGAGCAACAGGTTTTAAACCAACTGAGCATATGACAAGGGCACTGAGTAAATGAATTTTAAAAAACCAACAGAAAAAGAGGAAGTAAAGGCAAAAAATATTTAGTTTGGGAAAAAGTAAATGACAAAGCCACCATGTGGGTCTGGCAAAAGGTGAAATCCCTGATGGGTTTCATCCAACATAAGAAAATTAAGTAGGTTAAAAGTACTTTTTAATCCATATTAGAAGATCAATGTTGCTTATTTCTTCTTAGGAAAAGGATCGGCAACTTTACATACAGAATATTTATGCAAATCGGATGCCAAAAGCCCTGAGGGACAGAAGTGATTGGCTTCCTAATGACCAAAGTATGTCTGTAACCATCTTCTTCTCTTGTTAAGTGACACTTCCACTGTTTTAGAACCGGGAAGTTTATTCCAAATTAAATGCCAAAGTAATGCTTTTGTATGGGCTGAAAAGGTGAAAAGGTTTATGAGGTTTAAAGGCTTGAATAATAGAAAATAATAATAATATAAATTAAGTTCTACCAAGGAAGAAAGAGTTCTTTGGTAAAGAATATTACTTTCACATGGATGTTCATAGATATTGGGGAGAAATATCTATTCTCTATTTATATATATATAAATATTTTATTTATTTATTTATTTATTTATTTATATATATGGACTGAATTCCATGCAGTCTTGGCTATCCAGCATTCCAAGAACAGCTCTCTGGAGTGGGATTCAGCTGATTAAAACTGACCAGTGCTGTTTGAGGTGCCCCAGTTTGCCTCCACTGCACCCAGAATTTGGGATGGAACGACCTAAACATGGACTTCCCTGGCTGAAGCACCTCTGGAAAACACTGCTCAGATATTGCTGCTCCTAAAGTGAAGCAGAAATTAGAACTTCCTTCATGTGGGAACCAAAGAGCATTTAGCAAACCTCTCTGCTGGAAGTGCTCCCCACAGAATTCCTCAAATCGTGGCAGAAATTCAAGATCTTGCTCAGTTGCTTATTTCTTTCTTCTTCATTGCCTTTGCAAACCCGTTAACTCTGCCTCAATCACCAGTGGACTACAGGGAAAATCTTGGTAATTCAAGTTGTAAATTAAAAAAAAGACATATTTCTGTTTCTCATCCCAAGTCAGACACATTTTTTATGAAACTCTGATTTCCTGTTTTAGTTACACCACTTAACTACCTTTTTTTTTTTAATTTTATTCACATATGGCCTCGTATTCAATAGAAATTGAATATTGCTATTTAATTATGGTACTTAAACCGCTGTTATTATTTAATTTCTTCTTTCCTTTAAGCAAGATAAGGGAGCTTTGTTGGGAGAGACATGATAGTTTGTAATGAAAATCTTCCAAGCAAAGTTGCCCGATCCTCTGGAATTTTTAGGAAAATGTTTCATTCTCTGCCAGTTAATGCATTTGGAGACCAATAGCAGCAATTGCTGACAATTTGTTTTCCTTTTCACTCTTGACTTGAATTTACCTTTAGCAGATTTCTGAAGAGTTACCTCTCCAGGTCATTATTTTCTAATAGTTGACGTTCACAGAAGTTTTTTGCCAGCAGGAAATTTGGAGCCGGGTTTTTTAGCGGTGCTGATAAAGGGCTGGGATGAGGCTTCCTTGTGGATTTTTTGGACGGAGCGATGGATTCCAGGAGCTCCGGCTCACCTGGGGGGGCAGCGCCCCCTAGTCCCGATCCCGGGGAACGCCCCACTCATCCCGGCTGGAAAAGCTGGAGCAACTGGGAGAAAAAACTGGAGCAGCTTGGAAACCAATTCCTCATCATCAGAGTCAGTCCAGGCTGGTCACCAGCACCCCTTTCACCGCCCAGCTGCGAACCATTTTTATGTGTTTTCTTCTCTGATTTCTGAGTTCAAAATTGGGAATAAAGGTGGATGTGGATGTGGGTAAGATCCCGGTTTTGCTGCTCTGGTGGTAGCAACTTTCTCAGCTGCTGTTCCTGTGTCAAAGTTATTCCAAAAACAGAGTACAGGAACATACTCATCTGCTCCATCTCATATCCGTATTTCTCTGAACGTCTCCTTCAGGAATTCCTTTGGAATCTCTTCCAAAGACCACTGGTATTTCAGACAGTGTTAAGCATTTCCCATGAGCTGGGCTCCATGAAGATGCAAATTTAGGAAACTGAACCCTGGGGCTTCATAGCACACCTTTCAAATCAACACTAGAATGGAACCAAAAATTCAGCCTGTGTGGGCTCTGGGGCATAGACACACTTGTCTGATTTTACATGTTCAATCTGGACATGACATTGTAGTACGTTTTTATATAAATTTATTCATAGATGTATGTTTAGAATGCACTGATGTACAGGTGAAAAGGCTCAGAAATCCAGGTTTGTGTCCCATTTCAGCATTTATAGATTCTGCAGAGAAAATTATTTCCTTTTTTTTTTAAAGAGCATTAGGATATGCATTATAAAAATATTTTTAAATTCTTGGTCACATACGTAGTATTTTCAGTTGTCAGAGGTATCTTTTATTTATATCAGCAACCTAATTCCAGAAATTACTATATTGCTAATGCTTGTCCTCTTCAATAGGTCTGAGAGCAGACAGATCAGTACAAGTAGATAAAGAGAGTTTTAGAGAACTGCTGCTGTCTCAGCACCAGGATACAGAGAAAAATCCAATGCAGCTAAAAAAGGTGGGAAAGACCTGGATCCAAATCCAACCCCCTGTTTAAACTCTCAGCTAAGCTGTATCTTATTCCCTAAATTGCAGTAATGTGCCTGATCCATCATCTTGGATGTGGCTTTTGCATGAGTGTGATTACAGTACAGAAGAAATGCTATGATGTAAAGCATGTAACAGCAATAGAAATTACTAATCTTTTTATAAGTATTGCACTTATTGTGTTCTTTTAAAAGTCACTAAAGAAGCATTCCCTTGTTATTTTTACTTTTAATTGCCAATTGTAGGAGAAAAGAGGAGATAAGGGTGGAGAAGGTAAAGCAAGAGAAGTGTGCTCAGATGCCTGGGGTAGAAAAGAAAAAGAAGAAACCAAGGAAGTACCAACACCAGAAACTTCTAACAGGACACACAGAGGTAGGTTTAACGTTTCTCTCAGAAATTCACCTGATCTTTGCAAATTACCAGAAGTCCTGGTAATTTTTGTGGTTCTGTCAGCCCTTCACTGGCACCTGGCTGACAGGAGCTAGTTGCAGATGATGAATGAAGTGTCACTGAAATCACAGAATCATCTGGATTGGGAAATACAGCTGCTGGTGGTGCTGCACTGACAGCAGAGCTGCTCTGCAGGATGTGGCATCCCCACCCTGCTCTTCTTCCCAAAGCACTTCTTGGTCAGGGTGGTAAAAATTCGGTGTTCTGTTTGTAACAGGATAATTAACAGTTGTTAATCCACACTAATCAAACACTGATGTCAAAGTGATAGCTGGGAACCTTCATCACTGATGTGAATGTGTTTCCACGGAAAAGGAAAAGACTGTGAGGGCTGGGAGCGTCTCCTCATGACAGTGATCCCTGGAAGGAGATTTTAGCAAATCTCAGCCACTGTGTTTTCATGGAAAAGTTATACACAGGGGACTCATCTGTAAACATCTTTATTCTGAAGAAATTCTGTAGAACAGAGGAAAGAAAAAACCACTGCTGTTCCCTCATTCACATTTTCCTTTCTAGAAACATTCCTGCTATTTCCTTTAAAGCTTTTAGGGAAGGGTCAGAGTGCCACCATTCTAAACATGTTACAAATGGCAAGGGACCTCCAGGGCACACATTTAGCCAGGTGGAACAGGGTCACATCCCTGTAACCTGGGATGTGTTAACTCCTGAGGTTTGTGCTCTGCCTTTTAAGCCTGCAGCCTTTATCAGCATCTGGCCTTAAAATGCCCTTTTAAAGCTGGCAGAAAACACAGGGCTTACGATGCTCCCTGTGAACCTCTGAAGAGTCTGTGAAATCTGAATTTCTCTCATTGATATTGGACTTTTATTCAAGCCTTACGTGGCTTTTGTAGTTCCTGCAACTTCTTATTTCTCCTTTAAGCTTGGATTCTGTCTCATTTTGAGGGTATTCTGTGAGTCTCTGCAGAGCTCAGGACCCATTACAAGTCATTCCCTGCATGGATAAAATGCATTTCTGTACACACTTTCCTTTTCCTCCTGAAAAGTGGAGCCCCCTCATTTCCAGGTGAGGGAGTTGCTGTACATTCTGCTCCACACAAGCAATCTGCTGTGAATTAAGGGAAAGGAAATCCTGCATATCTTTACATTCCATTTAAAAGCCAGAAAGTGACAAAAGTTCAGATCTCACCTGGTTTCTCTGTTGCATTGTACATGACTTTTCTGGCACTGTATTTAGCCATTACTGTACATAATGGCAGCTACATCCATTTAATTAAATTCAACACCATGAAAAAAGTAAAAATAAAGATATTAACCTGGATTCAGTGGCATAATTATGTTGTTTAAATCTTGCCCCATACTGTTGTATTTATTATAGATCATAATTGAAATACCACCAATAATAAGAACCAAAGCAGTGAAATAAGGATGTGATACTTGCTCTTTTTAAAGCTTCATGTTCTCCATGTTCTTTAACCCCACAATATTTCAGGGGGCAAACTACTGATGGAAAAAGGCAATTTTTCAGAATTTATTAAAGAAATGGAAAAAGAGACAGAGTTTCTTAAACAGAAGTTGAAAAGTCTGATGAAATCTGAACAAAATCCTCAAAGAGACGGAGCAAAGGAGAACAATCAAGAGGGAGAGGCAGTGGAAGAAGTTGAAAAAGAAGAGAAGAAACCGTATGAGCAGCAAAAGAAGAAAGCCAGGAGTGAAGGAGCAATTCCAAGCAAAGACTTTGCTAGGCTGAAAAAAATCTACCTCTCCTCAGAAGGTGTTGAGAGTTTGCATCAGGGGCTCCACACCTCAGGTGCCAAATGCAAAGCAGGCAGCCAGAGCCAGGCAGGCCAGAGCTGCAGGGACACTGCTGAGTCCAGGGGGAAAATCTCCTTTGGGGCTTATGAGCCTTCTTTTGGGCAAATCCCCCTGGCCAGGCAGGGTGGCAGATGTGGAGTGGAAGAAAGAGCTGAGGAAGGAGGTTTTTGGGGAGGGCTGTTTGCAAGGAGACGGCCCCACGAGTTCCAGCAGCAGCAGGGTGAAGGCAGGCAAGTGAGGGGTGAGAGGCAAATCCCAAACTCCAGGAGAGGGTTCAGCTCTCCTCGTTAAAACCAGCTCCAGAGAATGTACAATGATTTCTGGTAGTTAAGTATATCAGCTTACCTTTAGAAAGTTTATACATTCAGATTGTTAAAAAAACAAACGTTTTACTGAAATTTTTATTAAATCTTACAAGCACTGGCTCCATGATTTTTTCCAAAACAATCCAATCGTCACAAAAAAACCATTCTGTGCTCGGTGTGTATTCACAAAAATGTGTTGTATTGAGAATTCCTTATTGTTTTCACCTGTTACCAGGAAAAAGTTAGTCCATGTTTAGGAACTTCCAGGTTTTTGCATTCCCAAGGAGCTGGAATTTGGAAGCTGGGTTGTTGTCAGCTCCCTGACACGAGAACCTGCTTTTGTAAGGTTCACTGCTGGGTGAGGACCAACAATGCAATAAAAAACCCACTTTTTTAGTTCCTTCACTCCCCAAACAGCTTCCAGAAGTCAGAGATAATAAAAATAATTTGCTCCTACACTGTTTTCACAAGCATTAGAAACCTCTAAAGCCTCATTCTTTCCCACTGTTGGAACTTATCAAAGCCGTTTGCCTGGTAACTTCCCCAGCTGACATCCAGAGATGAATGTGCAAGAGGAAAGCATTGTTTTGGAGAAGTCAGGCATAGCCAGTCCCCAAAAAGCCTCTAAAAATCCTTGTTTAAGGTTATGTAAGCGAGGGGAGGAGGATTGTGTTTTGTTCCTCACAGTAATTCATTTAATACTTGCTAAATTCATGTGAAGTTTGGAAAAATTAGAGGCATTCTGTTAATTTTTAAAGGCAGTAGCAGTTTTAAAAATGTCAGAAATTACACCACAAAAGCTTTTAAAGATGACAAAGACATTCAGACCTGAACCTGCTTGCAACAACATTTCAAAGGTTTAGAAAAATAGTTAAAAAAATAAATGAGTCCAGTTGATTCAAACAGTATTTTCTTATGCACAAACACAGGGGGGGTGTTGTTTTGGCTTGGATTTTGGTGCCTTTGGGGTTGGATTTTGCCATTTTGGCTTTGTTTGTTTGTTTGTAGGTTTTGTGGATTGTTTAGGAAAACTGAAATTAACATTAAAAAAGAAATGAGAAAACCTAAGATGGGTTGAAAAGCTTTATTTCCTTAATAAAATCACAATTATACATAACATTCAATCACATTTTTACCTTGATATTTATTTTCATGTTGGCTAAATACAACTCCTAATATAAAATCCCAATCTTTAAATTAACATTAAAAAAAACAAACAAACAAAAATATTTAATCTATATATATATACACACAACAGAACCTCACCTTTTGAACTGGTTTTTAAAGGCAGTGCCAATTTTGGAGGGTCCTGGCCCCTTCCTTCCTGCAGGGAGGAAAAGGCCTTGGAATAGCAGAACAGATCATTCCTCTGTGGGAATTCCAGAGTGGGAAGCTAAATCAGCATCCCCTCTGCAGGAACAGCACTGTCTTCTACATCATTGACAGCAGCCTGTGTTTGGCAGCTGAAGAAACCTCTTCAAGAGATAAAATCTTGATTAAACACATCTATTTTTTTTAGGACAGCACAAGAATATTCTAATTTTAAGGTAAAAAAAATCACAAAGAAACTCTCTTTTGTCCCAAGCCAAGCAAACCACCTCCCTCTGCCCTCTGCATCACCCTACATGATCCCACCTCGGGGTGAAGCTACCACATTTTACAGCAAAGAAACAGCCAGGCTCCCAAATTAATTCCTAAAGCCAGCACATTTCCAATTTAAAACCACAATTCAACACTTTTAGATGTTGGTGACAACAAGCCACAGCAAAACCTTATGGCTCTGCCACGAATAAACCCAAAATGAGGTTTTATAACCAGCAATGCTGTTCTTTCCAAACTGAAAGGCAAACTCTGGGAAGAGAAATCAAAAGGACTGACTGATATCCAAATGGAATAACAAGGATTGCCTCAGACCTTGTCTCATGAAAGATAACTGTCCCTTTTTTTAAAAAATTAATTTAAAACAGTGATAATGTGAATGCAGTTGAGGAGTCCAGGGACTGCTGGGATTCCTTCAGCTGAAGGGGTGCAGCATGATAGCCACAACTTTATTGCAGACCACGAGCCAGCAGGTAATTCCAACACCTCCTGGAAAAGAGGGAGAAACCACGATTCAAGTTGTTGGATCAATAACTCAGAGGAACCTGTGCAGCTGAAAACAACCTTGGAAGTGTAAAACATGAAACTCAGAATTCATGAGGCCAACAGGAACAGAACTCTTTATATACAAAAGGGAAATACAAGAGATGGGGTGATAGATCAATGGTGGTCCCAAAAAATTCTGGATTGTCGGGAAAAGAGCACCAAATACACAAATATGAGCTGAAATGTGGTGAGGGCACCCCACAGCTAAAACCATCTGCCACAGACCCAAGAGAAAATATCTGAAGTTTAAGGTCTGGCAAGTCACAGAATGCTTTGCTTGAACCTAAATTCAGAATTTGAGAGAGGTAAAAAGTAAATTCCTCTGAAGTTGAAATCAGTTGTTTTGTAAGTACATAACTATTCATAGCACACCTGTGAGGAAAACTCCCTTTTGGGTGATTTTTTTTATTTTCCAATTTAAATCTTCCCCAGGGTCTATTCAATACAGATGAGGACAATGCTCTATTTGGGTGGAAATAAAAATGACAAAATTCCACGATCAGTTCAAGAAGCCAGAACTGAGCACACACAGAAGAGCTGCTCAAGTATTTGAACCCTGAGCTCTGGGAGTCAGAGAAGCAGCTGCTGTTAATCCAGGGATGCTTTGGGGTTTGGGAATTGTCCTTTTCCTCACCTGCCACTCCTGTAGGGAAGGCCACCAGGCGCTCCAGGGGAGCCAACCATTTGCTTGGAAGCACCGTGACGGGCTCGGAGTAGTACTTCCAGATCAGAGAGATCATCAGGGCAGCCTGGAATGGGAATTTTTATTACTTTGGATAACAACACACATCAAAGTGCATGTTGTGTACATCAAAGTACATTCCCAGTGCTATCTGGAAACAGCAAGTAATAAATTCTAATGAAAGGGAATTGTTTCTTTATTATTTTATCTTTTTCGAAATAGTTTTAGATTCTGAATGACCTTAAATTTATATACAGTATTAGGAGATTGCAGTGAGAACTTGTTTCCTTTCAAGACCCTCATTCCAATCAAGCTGACTCAAACACAGTCATAGAGCATTTGTTAAAATTCTGATGACCCTTTTTAGCCTCAATTTCTGGCAACTCACTTTAACAGCCCCCAAGGAAATCTTCAAGCTGACCGCTGCCATCCTCGTTAGCAAATTCTCGTTAGAAAATTCTTTGGCATCACGTCAGAACTACACAGACAATCTGATGAGGCACTGTGGGGAAATGTGTGGCAGCTGTAGGTGGAGATTTGCATTCTCAGCAGAAGTGTATTTTGTCTTCAAAGCCAGAATTATATTTACATGTAGCAGAACCTTCCTGGATTTGGGGCCATATATTAAAAAAAACCCCAGTCATTAGAGAGTTAAGACAAACTCCAATCTTG